ACCCAGTTTGGGCAGGAGCTCCTCCTATTAAAACCGGAACTCCCGTGTCACCCTCCAGGCCCCTGGCTCTGTGTGGCCCAGCCCTGACTTAGGAGCTGGCCAGGCGGGCTAACGGAAGGCAGCAGCCTCGTCCACGTCCTCCTCTGTCACCGGGCTTTCCCACAGCCTGGCACAGAGCAGGGATTGGTGGCACATGACCGAGTCGCACACCTCCTCCGAAGCTCCCCGACCGCTGAGCGGCCTCGCTGTCATGCCCACGGCCGCCAGTCTCTAGCGAGGAGTACACGGAGATCAGTCAGGGCGATCTGTGCCCTTCCCACATTCACGCTGTGAAACTGGGCCAATTGCTTTATCTTCACACAGGCATGAGCTTGGGGTTCCCCGGGAATGTGGTTTGTGCACACACCGGGGCCTTTTCTGTGTCCGGGGTGGGCTGCTGCCAGGAGGGAGGATTGAGGTTCCCCAGGAACATCCTGGAAGGACACCTGGCTGCTTGCGGCTGGTCTCATGACTGGGCTTGGGCGCCACGGAGCACTGGGAGGCCAGCCTTGTCCCACTGACTGGAAAGCGTTTGCCAATACGGATTTCAGGAAGGGCTTGTTTCAGGCGTCTACGCCTGTGGAACCAGCCACCGCCAAACACGGTCGCGGAAAACAAGGCCCATTTCTGGCTGCTCACGGAGCCTGTGGGTCAGGAGTCTAGATGGAGCACAGCAGGGAGGGCTTATCTCTCACTCTCGATGTGTGGGGCCTCAGTGGGGATGTCAAGAGACTGTGCTGGTGAAGCTGTGGGGAAACAGCCCCTGGTGGTGGTGGGAGTAGAGGACGCTTGGGTGACAGTTGTCAATGCGGCAAGCGCCCACGCCCTCTGAGCCCGCAAGTTGTCTTCGGCAAATTATCCCACAGGAAGGTGTGCAACACCAGGAAGTCGTGCAAGCACACGGATTGCAGCCCTCTTCGAAACAGTAAAAGACTTCTGGGAGGCTGCCTAAGAAAAGCAGGGCAGAGCTAACCACGGCATGCGGCGTCCTGTGGAATCCCGAGCAAGCCCAGAGTGACCCCCAGGATACGCTGAAGTGACACCGACAAGCCACACAGCCCGTGTCCAGTATGCACCGTGGGGGTAAAGGACACAGCTGTTAGCAGATGGAGACATTTGCCTATGTCTGGGTCAGCCACAAAAGACAAAGCAGAAAGGCACAAGCGATTGTTCTAGAAGGTGTTAAGGACGAAGTAATGGGAAGACCAGGATGCAAGAAACTCACCGTCCCTGCATATTGTTTTGTAACTTGAACATGATGCCACGTGAATATATTATCCATTCAGAATCAAAGTTCTATCTTTAAGATGCCACTTTTGATGCTTTTAGTCATAAGCCCAAACCTTCCCGTGAAAACACGCAAAGATGTCTTTGTTTGCCTCCCGGATGCCTACGATGTGCGGGGAGGGGTCTGAGCTGGCTGAATTTGCTGGACGCACACTCGTTGCTCCTCCTCGCAGGAGCCACGCGCCGTAGCCGTGTGTCAGTGCCGTCTGCTCGTTCCATCCCACACGTGCCTTTTTAGGCTCTTCCCTGCAGCCAGGACTGGAAGCCTGCAAAGCACACTTCCCAGACCCCCCGGCGGGTGACAGGGCCTACGGGAGGCACGGCAGGTGTCCTGGAGACGGGAAGGAGGGAGGAGCCATCCCAGACCAGGGTACTGTGGCACAGCAGGCCGCAGTAGTGACAGCAGTGGTGCCAGCAGATACTCCCAGGGGTGTGGTGCTCAGCTCTTGCTCCAGCAAGTGGGAATCGAGTGGGTGTCCTTATTGTCCCCTTGCTTCTCCTGTCCTCCCAACACCTCTGTCAACAACGCTCTGTAGTAAACTCCTTCTGCTTGAAATACCTACGGGGGCTTTCCGCCTCTAACGGACACTGACTAACACACAGAGAAACTTACCACCTTTTACAGATGAGAGAATTGAAACTCAGAGCAAGGAAGTGACTTAACCAAAGGCAAACCCAGCACCTCTCCTCCCTCACCATGTCCCATTTCTGGAACATTCGAGCTCACGCACACCCCGGAGCCTTCACAGGGATTCTCTCTGTGCAGAATATTCTGTCTCCAGCTCTGCCTGTGCACACTCTCCACTTGGGGCCCATGCAAACACTCCCTCTGGAAAGACATCTCCTCTAGCCCCCCATAGTCTCCAAGTCACTCTACTACATCATCCTGCTTCATTTCTTCTTAGAAAACCTCTGCAAGCATTTACTTGGTTGTTATCTCACTAGGACTGAAAAGCCCACAAGGCCAGGCACAGTGTTCGTCTTACTAAATGCTGTGTCTCTGGGGCCAAGTGTGGGACACTGAATGCACACCATACTTATTTGCTCTAAGAATGAATGGACAGAAAGGGTGCTCGATTACTTGTGAGCCCCAGCTAGGACCGGGCTGTCCCGCTGGCTGGCTGGCCGCCAGCCGCTCAGGAGTCTTTCAGGGGGTCCCACTGCCCAGGGGTGCCCACTCCCACAGGAATTCCGATTTCCACCATTCTGTATGTGCCCTCAGCGCATGCTCAGTTACTACATGCCGAGGGAACTAACCTGCCTATGAACTGTGAAGCTTCCAGAAGGCGTGTTTGTGTGAGCACTAAGAGTGAGCAAGAGGCAACCCTGGCAGGTGAGGGGGCTGTGTCTCAGCTCAAGTCAGCAGACTGGAAGCGAACGGCCTGCAACAGCCGTTGGAGGCCTTACATCTCCTCTGTGCAGTTGACATGGTTGTGCGACCTGTCCTTGTTGACAAAAACAATGACATTTCCAGAGCTCCTCCTGAAGGGCACCACAGCACAGTGTAATCTTCGCAACCAGACAGCTCGGGTTCAATTCCTGGCACCATTCCTGACCGATAGGGTGACCTCGGAAAGTCACTCAGGTCCTCTGCGACTCAGTTTCCTCATTTACACAATGAGAACATTGATAATAACAGCATCACTTTCATGGGGTCGTTGTAACGATCAATAGTTAAATCACTTAACATGCTTAGAACAGGGCTTCGCGGGACATCACCACCCGTTGTTACTGGTACCGGTGTAACATGTATGTACAAGTTCCATGCGTGTATCATATGTAATGCTCAGAGCAGTCCCGTGAGGCAAGGCACTAATATCACCCCCACTTGACAAACAAGGAAACTGAGCAAGTAGTTGTAGAAGCAGCCCTAGAAGCAGAGTGTGGTGCCAGGCTTCACACGCAGCTGATCTAAAATCCCAAGAGACCCTCTGCATCCCCACACTGGTCCAGAGAAAACGGCCCGTCTGTAGGTAATGACGAAGCAGCATGGTAGTTGTCCAGCAGTCTCTACCGACACGTTGCATACACACTGGCACCACGAGGCGGGGTTGTGTGACCTGAGCGGGCACTTCCGAGGTACCAGTCAGGCCCAAAGTCTAAAGGCTAGTTGGCTGGCAGAGAAAGATATTTTAGGGAAAGCATGGATTTCCTCCGGATTCGCTAACCTGGCAGTTTCCAGGCAGGAAGGAGAGGCAGTTGAAGCTGGCAAGCTGGGCAAGCTGGGCAACCTCCAAACCACGGAGGGGCCTCTAGATTGTGCTAAGGAGCTTGAATTTCATCATTTAGGTAATGAGGGACTGTGAGAGGAGTTCAAGCATTTAAATCTATTGTGGACTGTGAGCTGGAAGGAGATACAGATGAATCCTCTCCTCGATGCTAAGAGTGCCATCAACACCTGACAGCCCTGTGCCTGGGAGTGCTGAGTTCCGCCAGGTTTGGATGCTGACAGCAGGCGCTGTGCTTTTTCCTATCTGGGAATCTGGAGCCGATTTTGCCATACAAGAGTTGCTCAAATATTTATGGAACCAACTAACGTGTTGTAACGTTGTCTGCGGAAAGCAGGAGAGGGACTACAAGTTCCAACACTGCGAAACGTTCCTCCTCCAAATAGCCCAAAGGTCCATGGGAGCAGCAACTAGGAATCACTGGGTCCCGTTTCCTGACTCTTTCGGGCAGGGTCCAGGGAAATGCCAGGTCCTGAGCCCGGCTCAGGCGGGGCGATTTGCCCACCATATACTCTCAAAGACATCGAATTAGGAGATTATGTTCACGTCCCCGCACCAAAACAGGAGTGGGCTGTGCGGTGGAGACTAAAGGGCCTCACGGGCCTCATCTAAAATGGGCTTTTCTCTACACAGGACCGTTTCTTTCATAACAATGATCACATGTTGTAGTTCTTTGCGTTGAGACTCTCGATTCCAACAGGGTGTAAGCGGTAACTTCGTGACAGAAGGGACCGCGTCTGTCTGGTCCCCAAAGCATCCTCGGAGTCCAGGGAATTGGGGGTAATGGAGCGGGAGTAGCGAGGGCCTCTGAGAAAGGCCCGTGGTGCCTCCGGCCCCTCGGTGACCTTAGGGGGCAGAGGCCGCTGTGAAGGGCACATCGGGCCGCCTCCGCGGAGAGCGAGACGAAGGTGCCGGCTGGACACGCCGGCAGCCGGGCGAGCACGAGGGCGGCGAGCGCGGGTAGAACAGGGAAGCGGAGGGCAGGCCCCGCAGAAAGCGCGGCGCCGCTCGGCGACTGCAGCGGGCAGCGGCCGGACGCCTCCCGCGCGGTGGTCTGGGAGTTGTAGGCACTTTCTTTCCACTCTCCTTCAGCTCTTTGCTCCTGAAGCCCAAGGCCGTACAAGCGGGCGGGCGCCTGTGACTCCTAAGCTGTGAACTCTGGAAATTTAAATTCTAAAAAAGTGCCCTGAATAGGACTCTTCCCAGGGAGCTTCCTTCCACTCCGCCTGGTTTGAGGACTACACTTCCCAGGCAACCCCAAAGAGGCGGGGCTTCCGGCGCGCGCGGCGTATTGTGGACATTGTAGTTCCGAGGGGCTCGATTTCCGCCTTCTGTGCAGTCCGTGGCTGTTGGCCCGGACTACATTTCCCTTCAGTCCGCCCACTATCCCGAGGCCGCTTTGGCGCGAGACATTTGCGAGCTGAGTGTCTCCAAGATGGCCGCTTGGGGAAGGAGGCGTCTTGGCCCGGGCAGCAGTGGCGGCAGCGCCCGAGAGAGGTGAGATCCGGGGGCCTGTTGCTTTCCCAGGGCGAGTGGGTCAGGAGCCTGGAAGCCAGTGAGGCCTCCTGGGGCTGCACCGCTGTCCCTGCCTTCGTCCCCGGGCTCCCCTTTCTCGCCCACCCGCCCTCCTCGTACTCCTGCGAGGCACGCGGGGTTTCTGCTCTGGCCGATCCAGGATCTGGGTGGGATCTGGCGCCCGCTCTAGCCCGGCTGAAGCGGCCTCCGCGGAGGGCTCCGGGGAGCTGACGATGCGGGGCCGGGAGAGGTGGCCCGCGGCCATACAGGGGCCGGGGCCGGGCCACGCGGGAAGGACCGGGAGCCCCGCGCAGGCCCAAGGGACCCGTCTAGCATCCCGCGGTCGGGCAGCGTCCGAAGCTCCCGTCCTGCGTGGCCAGGAGCGTGGCCATTTCGGCCGCGACCCCTGACGTGATGAGGGATGGCTCCGGGGAAGGAAAAGGAAGGGAAGCCTGCACGGAGTGGGCCAGCTGCGGGAGGGTAGTGCGGTCTGCACGTTTATCAGGATAGCTTTAACCTTCCCCAGTGTGTCTCCCGGGCCGAGAGCCGGCCGCTTCCTCGAACCCTCCGAGTTTTGCGACTTTTCGAGGGTTCTCTGCAAGCGCCCCTGCTGTGGAAGTCCTTTAAAGTGACCTTTCTTAATGAATGATGAGTGGGTAGGGAGCTAGGGGCTTGTTTCTTCTGAAGCGGATCTCGATTTGGAGAACTGATTTCTAGAAGATGAGATTGTTAGAGTTTTTGTGTTTCGGGTTGAAGTTACAGTTCTTCGAGAAGGCAGTTTCAGCTAGAAGCCACTAGAAGCTGTTCAGCTACTAGAAATTTGGGGAAGGATGTGTATTGGTGTAGTCGTCTGAATTCAGCTGCTCTGTCCATTTTGTTATGGCTTGCTTGGTATAGCCGAGGTCAGCAAGAAAGTTTTGTGTTTGTGTGTTTTGTCTCTTTGGAGAGGCTTATTAAACAGAACAGTGTCTTCACCCCCTCCCGCCCAACTATCCTCATTATTCCTTTTCTTTGATTCCATCACGTATGCATTTCTGTTGCCTGCAGATGGTTTTCTCGGCTCGTAAGTCTTCCTGTTTGGTAGTTGTGGTAGACCAGCTATCTTAAGCTCAGAGTTATCCAGCGTTGTCTGTTCTGCATTTCCTCTTCCGTGGAAAAGCAGTGAATGGCAAGCAGATATTTTTGTTTTTCCAACTCCCATGTGGTATTTTTTAGATCAGACCATAGGAAGAAGTTAAAGAAATGACCTCGATGGCCTTTAAACCTGGCAAACGTTTTCAGGATCTTAAATGCGACCATTAATCCTGCTTAGAAAAGCCAGAGTAGCTGAGAGAAAGGCATTTCTCCTTACTGGATAAAAACAGCTGGAAGGGCCAAATGGGAATGCCCCAGACATCATACAAGGGCTGTGCCAGCACAAGTTAAGCTTTTATTGATCTAAGAAATCAGATACTGGTGATCTTATCTCCTTGGTTGGAGACGCATTAATTCAAAACTGAGTTTGCAGACTAGTAGCCCATAGGCTGAATCCAGCCCTTGACTGTCGATCCTTAGGTTTTAAAAAGAATTTAAATCAGTTACCAATACTTAAAAGTTGGAAGATTTCATGTAAAACTCTCCTTGAAAAGCTGAGTGGTGGCGGACTGCTTTTGGTCAGGGCAAGTGCTCTCTAGTTCATTACTCACCTGACAGCTTGACTCACTGCAGTTACCTGCCTAGTCTCCCTAGGTGTGCAGGTTGCAACCTTTGGCCTGGAGCCAAAGGCTCTGCTCGCACATGCAGATGCCCCAGGAATGGGGCAGCAGATTTTATGGTTCGGGTGGCCCCATCTCTCTTCCTTCAGATATCATGGTGTGTGGCTGGGGGACCTTTCTAGTTGCCTTTGTGGGGAGGCCCTAGCCTGGCTCTGTTGGAGGAGTCATTCGTCGGAGCCCAGTTTCCCTAAGATCCTCCCACGCTGAGCAGGGGATGGAAACATAACCCGCTGCTGGGCCAGCTAGCTAACTTCTGGGCACACCTCCATTCCTGCTCAGTGGGTGGAAAGACTGTTTGGGAGGGGCGGGCTGGATTAATTGATTGCCCAGCACCGTAGATTAAGAGGCCCAAGCATATTATTGGCTCTTAGGACTGAAATAGGGTGTTTATGGCTCTCTTAAATGAGTTTGTTCCATGTCATATCTGTGCTGACCCAAATCTCAGCTTCACATTGGAAGACCACTTTCCAGAATCACTTGACACACCCAGTTGGAGTCTGCTTTATGCTGAAAGCAAAGGACACTTTGCCTGGTTTGGGGCAGGAACTGGAGCAGAGCAACACTTTGGGCAAACTTTCCACATTTGTCAAGTGGCTGCAAACTCCCAAGCATGACTTGTACTTAAAGGCCCTGCCCAGGACTGTACCATCCACCACAGTTTCTGTCATCAGCTGTGTATTAATGGTGGTCTGCTTCAGAATACACGATGTGTGAATTCTTTACCTGGTTCTTGAGTCAAGAGCTGTGTTCATTCAGTAGCCACTAGTCACATGTGGCAGTTAAGTTTAAATTAATTAAAAATAGGGGTGCCTGTCTGGCTCAGTAGAGCATGTGACTCTTGACCTTGGGGTTGTGAGTTTGAGCCCCACATTGGGTGTAGAGATTACTTAAAAAAAAAAAAAATCTTAAAAAATTAATTAAATAAAAATAAGATGAAAAAATTCAGCTTCTCAGTCATACGAGTCAGTCCCATTTCAAGTGCTCAGTAGCCACATGGGGCTTGGGATAGCACATTGGGTAGGGCAGATTTAGAACACCTCCGTCACTGCAGAAAGTTCTAGTGATGCGACAGCGCTGGTCTAGACTAAAGGAGGAGAGGGGTGGAAATAGCAAAATGCTAGCTGCTCGCATGTTGATTTTTGTCTCCACTCCGTTAAATCCAGGGACTCAACAGTGTTTGTAATGAAGAACATCAGACTCTGAGCTGTAACCTGAATTCTTGTCCAGAATTCAGCACACTGGCAGCGAGCACACTGGCAGCGAGCACACGAAACAGATTGCCACTTGGCCTGTCGGCGTCTTTGAGACATACTTGCCCATCTAGGAAGGCACAGTGCAGGTATCTGTGTGTTCTGCCACTTGGGTGCCGCCCCGGACCAGCTCCCAGACGGGCCCGCCTGTCCTACTTGGGCCGCTTGTCTTCACTCCCTCAGGGCCTCTGAGCGTCCCTGAGCTCTCCGTGATGGTTGGAATGTGAGTATAGCCACGTACTCTGAGCTCCCGCTCTTCCCATCATGTGAACATGTGCTTGATCTGATACTCCTCATGATGCAAGGCAGCAGCGCTGCTCAAAGACCTGGGGTGTCCAGAGGGCCTGGCATGCTGGACTAGATGCTCAGGTGTCCGGGGGAGCCCCTGGCTTGTGCAGCCGCCTGCCCGTTCGTGCTGTTCGGACAGCATGGCTTTAATATGTGAGTCGGAGAGTTGTGGTCCTGGATGGCTGGTGGAGGGTTTAGTTCCGGTCCAGTTGAACCGATGGGCCACAAGCCATGAAGGCAGGTGGCTCACTTTCTGGGATTGATGTTCTCCTCATTCTGATCTGAGCTTTTCCTTCTAGAGCTGAGGACCCTTAGTGGCCTGGGGTACTTTTTTTTATCTTGGAAAACTGCCTCTCTGGCTCCAGTGTGTGGTGAAAATGTTTGTTCCTCCTGGCCATGGCCGAGGCGCACAGGTAGGCATCCATGCCCGAGTCTGGGTGTGTGGGCCCTCCCCAGCTGCCTACAGAAGGTGGAGTCGGTGCACTCAGCCATAGGTTCTGATCCCGGAAATTGGATATTGCAACTTAAAGTCATCTGCTGGGGTTCATCCTCCTCAGGCACGACTTTCTGTCTTCCTGGATTGACGGGAGCGGTCTGGTTCTAGCAGCAATACTTGCGCCTTGGGGATTCCGTGCTTTAGGCCCCATTCCGGCTCGGGCGCAGCTTTGCGAAGGGCAGGATGCTCTTGTATGGGCGGGGAGGCCGAGGCCAGGCTGGAGCTGGGCTTCTCTGTACAGGGCCTCGGTGAGTGGAGGCAGTGGGAGGAGGTGGGAGAAGGTGGGAGGTCCTCCACAGAGCGAACCCTCCAGCACCTCCCAGCTTTCTCTGTGTTCTGTCCCTGCTGCCAGCAGCGGCGTTATGGACCACGGAGTTCTGGGGAGAGCCAGTAAGCTTAGTAGAGTCACAGGAGTGCTTCAGCTCAGGGCTGATCCGTAGGATTTTTTGCCATAACAGAAATGTCCTGTCACTGCTTTCTTTTAGAGTAGCCATTAGCCGCAGGTGGCCACAGACGGTTCGAGGTATGGCCGCTGTGTCTAAGGAAGTGGATTTTGTACTTGACAGTTTTAGTTAATTTAAATTTACAAACAGCTGCATGGGCCTTACACTGGGGTGTGTTTTGCAGCTGTCACCTGGGTTGGCAGCGCCCACTCCGTTCCGCCCTCACTGTGGCACTCGGGAAGAGCTAGAGCCTTTGCCCTGTTTGACCCCAGGCAACGTGGCTTAGAGCAGCAAGGGCTTTTGCCCTTGGCGACAAAGCCAGCGAGTTACCGAGCGGGAACTAGAATCCAGGTCTCCGGACACACCCCTCCGCTCGGTGCACGGTGCTCTTACTCCCGCAGGAGAGCACTGTGTGGTTCCCCAAGCACCGGGGAGGAACCGTGTCCTTGAGCAGGGCTCTCTCTGAAACACACGAACATGCTGGGTGCCTGTGCAAGTTCCTTGGCCTGTTTGGAGTCATCCTCAACATTCGGGCTGCATGCCTGTGCCTTGCTGTCCGGATTGGCCTTTAAAGCCACAACACAGAATCCTGCCGCTTTCTTTGGCTCCCGAGGAGGCACTTTTTGGTTAGCCAGAAGTGCGTTCTAGATCTGGGGGTCGAGGTAAAGTCCAGGACCTCCCAGAGCACAGGTAATGAAGTGGCCACATGCTTACTGGGTGGAAAGCAACCTGACATATGGACCTAGTTTAATTTTTCGCCCACGCGTTGTCTTAATTACTGTAATTGTTCTCCTGCCACTCGTTTCAAATGCGCTTCCACTACTGTGTGTTGGTGCCTTGTCACATTCAGGCCGGGTGAAAACACAGTCTGCCTCCCAGAGCTCCGAGTTGACATCCTTTGTCTTTCAGACCAGAGCTCCCAGCCCAGGCCCGCCTGGGAGCCCAGGGCCCGCCCCAGGAAGTGAGCCCAAAGCAAGCGCTTCCGCTGCTGTTAGATTAGCCTCTTCCGGTTCTGCCAGGACCAGAAAGTGATGGTGGCCAGCACGGTGTATTGGCCAGTGCTCGCTTGAGGTGACGGAAATGAAATTTTCCTCCTCACTGGCAGGACTGCAGAGGGCTGAGACCATCAGGATACCCCAGCCATGAGATGCTGCCTTGCCCAGACCCGCGGTGGTGGGCTCGTTCCCTGGCAGCACACACTCCTCCGTCCGCACGGGGTCACTGCTGGGGCCGGGACTGGGCCCCCTCCTGCTCGTCTCAGCTGTGCAGTCTCGTCACCCTGAGGGATACAGGGCTGTCAAACAAGAGTTTTCTTTTTGCCAGAAAGCTGGCGATTCATTTCCGCATTATAAAAGCACATGTGTATTTGTTTTCTGGTTTTGAAAAGTACAGAAACCTATGCAGGAAAATAAAATGTCAGTCACCTGGTAGGCCACCATCCAAAGAAAACCCGTGTTGACTTTTCTTCGTGTCCAGCATCTTTGATACTTCCCTCCAGATCTTTTGTCTTGGATTTTTAAAAACTGTATGTTAAACACATCAAAAGTATGTTTCTAACATGTGAAAGTCATAAACTTGCTACCATATGTCTGACCCTTGAAAATATTGTTCTAAACAAAAGCAGGCAGGCCCAGGCGGCCACAGGCACGATGGCGTTTATACAGAACGTCCAGAACAAGTGAGTCCGTCCAGTCAGTGCGTGGATTGGTGCTTGTCAGGGGCTGGGGAGGGTTGGAGGAAAGGGGGAGCAATGGAGTTTCTTTTTGGGGTGATGGAAATACTCCAGAATTGATAATGGTGTCTGTTGCACAAAGTAGGGAAGGCAGTAAGCCACCGGATTGTACACTCCAAAAGGGTGACTTCTGTCCCAATAAAGCTGTTATTTAAAAAGTATAAATCAAAACCACCCATCGGGATGCCTGCTGTTAAAATCAAAACAGACAGGTGTAAGCGTTGGTGAGGATGTGGAGCAGTTGGACCCCTCATGCCCTTTTGGGGGCAACGTAAAGGGATGCAGCAGTGGTGGGGGACAGTGCAGCGGTTCCTCAAAAGTGAAAAGTAGAATTCCCACATGATCCAACAATTCGGCCTCCAGGCATAGATCCAAAAGAATGAAAAGCGGAGACTTGAGCACATAGTTTTATGCTGTGTTCACAGAAGCATTATTCCCAATAGCTGGGAGGAAGTAGCCCAGGTGTGATCGGGGGATGAACAGGTGTATAGACACTCGATGGAATATTCTTTTATTCATCCTTAAAGGGAAAGGAACTCCTGACTCATGGCGTATAACATGGGTGACTCTTGAAAACGTGGTGTCAAGTTGAGTAAGCCGGTTGCAGAAGGACAGATACTGTATGATTTGACTTACACGTGGTACCCAACATTGTCCGGCTTAGAGGGACACAAAGTCGAAGGGTGGGGGTAGGGGTGGGAGCTGTTGTTTCGCGGGGGCAGAGTTGTGCAGGCGGAAACTGTCCTGGAGCTTGTTTGCGCCACAGCGGGAAGGTACTGAACGCTACTGAACTGTGTGCTTACAAATGGTCAGGACGGTACATTTTACGTGTGTGTATTACTGTGATTTGGAGACAGTAAACCCATGGGCTCACCGCTCAGCTTAAGTAGAAAACTAGCATCACCCTGGCCCATGTGTCCCTTGCCGCAGGCAGAGGCCCCCTCGCTCATGACGTCGTTTCCTTGCTTTTCTTCGCAGTTAGCACACGTGAGGACCCTCCTCAGCGGCAGCGTCTCTGGCAGCGCTGTGCTGCACATTCCGAACATCCGCACGTGTCCCTGCTTTCTCCCCAGTGAGGGATTCGGCTGTATATTCCCCGCCCGGTGGAGGAGCAGCCCGATTAGCGGTCTCTTCGTAGCAGTGCTGCTCTCCCCACACGGTGCTGCTTGGAACATTTTTGCACAGCTCTGATTTTGGGGGAGGTATCTCCAGACTTTGGGGATCCTGGGTTTGAGACTACTCTGGTAATTCCGGAGTCCTCCGAGACCGGCCTCCCGACGGTGGAGGGGACCGCGGGGCCGCATGCTGGGCAGGCTGCCAGGTGCAAAGAGGGTGCCCACATCGGGGGATTCGAATTCAGTGGCCTGGTTCTTCATTATGGCCCCCTTCTCACTGGAAAGCCAGTGTTCTCTGGGAATTCCGCTGAAGACCCTATCTTCACCACCGCCAGGGCAGATTCAGAGGAGGAGAGGGGAGGGTCTCAGGCCCACTCTGGGTGAAGGGAGAATGAGGGAGGCCGATAGGAGCCCCAGGCACAAGGGCCCATGACCCTGGGGCAGCGCCCACAGCAGCCCCTTCAGCTTGGACGGGTTCATGCTCTGCCCCGCCAGCCAGTTTAGAGCTCACTGAGCGAATTGATGTCAGCACTGGCACAGGGGGTTTAGGAGCACGACCTTGTACCCTAAGTACCATGGATTGTGTTAGACACAAAAGGTTCTAAAGTTATTGGTAAAAGGGCTCCTCTTTTCTCTCTGGAGCCACTCCATTCCTCTCCCCAGTGATGGTCGTATATCCCGGGTCTTTGTGTATCCAGAAAGGTGCTGCGCGTTTAAAAGCAAACATACACCTTTTTTTTTTTTTTTTTTTAAGATTTTATTTATTTGAGAGAGAGAACACAAGTGGGGTGAGGGGCAAAGGGAGAAGCAGGCTCCCCGCTGAGCAGGGGTCCAATGCAGGACTGGATCCCAGGACCCTAGGCTCAGGTCATGATCAAGGCAGATGCTTAACCAGCTGAGCCACCTAAAAGCCCCTAAAAACAAATGTATACCTTTTTTAAAGTACACTAAAGATCACATACTATAATCACTGTTCTGTGCTGGGCTTGTTCAGGATGGCTACAGTCTGCCGGGCAGAGAGGGCACCGTATGCTAAGGTAGATTTGCAGTTTGGCCAGGAACATTCTATAGTCCCAACCTTGACACCCAGGTTTTGCCTTAAACGTTCTGGAGGAACTTTGTGGCCAGAAACGCATCCCCGGCCTTGCTTTGATAGTGGGACACACAGTGAGTTGAACTGCCTCCTCTTCACAGCTTGAGAACACAAGGGAAGTCGGGGCTGCCTGGGAGCCAGTCCTCTCCCGAGTCCTATGCACATGGGGCCAGTCATCCCGTGACCAGTGACTTCCCTTTCCGCTGGGACGTCTCCAGTCAGTGTGAGACTCTGCCTCTTAGGTGTGCTTGTTTGCTCCAGGTGACTTCTAAAGTGCGGAGTCCTGCCTGGGAGTAAGAACTGAAACGAACTCCGTCTCCCCTCCCTGAATTCAAACCAAATGGAGGCCTTGAACGGGGAAACCCTCCTTTTCCCGTCTCATCTACTTCCGGTGGATTCTTCCGGAAACAGCTCATTAACTCCTCCCAGAGAGGCAGCTCCAAGTACTGGCTCGCCGCAGTGAGCTGCTCCGGCGATGGCCCGTGTTTAGGAGGCTGCTTGTCTGACCCCCCCAGTGCACAACTTCTCCCCAGTGCACACCGTTTAATTAGGGCCTGTGATTTAATTAGGAGGCTCCCCTGAGCCCAACTTAATTACAGTTACTTTTTCAGAATAAAGAGTTCCCTCTGCCCAAGTCCCGGCCAGTGCCTTTTGCTAAAGTGGTTCCCACCTGGGAATGGAGGCCCTTCCTGGAGGATGCTCCTCCCCCTGCACTTGGGGGGCAGTCAGGCCATTACCAGTGACTTTTCATTTCTGATGTGACCACAGGAGAGTACTGAGCACTTGTTTTTCTAACAGGGTGAAACTCTTTGCCTCTTAGGTTTGCTTATTTGTTGGCTAAAAATAGTTTTTATTGTGCTGAATCCTGCCTGGGAATAACTGGAGGGAGTGCTCAGTGGTCCCACTCTCTCATCGCCTGTCCTTTTTTCTTGAAGCATACCCCCGACAATCCAGTTTTCATCACACTTAACATGTCATCTTTGAAGGAGGGCTGGGACCTAGAGGTTCTGGGGGTGACCTTGTTTTAAAAGCCTTCACTTGTTCTTAATGTGCCTGGTCCCTGACGAGGACGCTCTGAGCCTGGCTCCCCTGTTGCTTTCCTCAGAGTGGCTGCTGGGTGTGCGCTCCAGGATGTGGGGGGCCGGTGGACCTTGTGTCCTTGAGCATGTAAGCTGTGCGACTCATTGAACAAGCAGAGCTCAGGAGGATGGGCTCAGTACACTGGTCCAGAGCCCCAGTTAGAAGGGCATGGGCTCGGGTGGGGGCACCAGGAGCCAGATGGGGGTCCCTGGACCTTCTCTTGTTCGTCATGGTCTGACCAGCCCAGGGACAAGGGGCTGCTTTTCACTGAGGCACGTGAAAGGTGTTCTGTGCTGCCTAGTAACAGGGTTAAGTGGCTTGATCCAGCTTCCAGAGCTGCGTCTACCAGTGTCCCCCAGAGGCCGGTATAAAGAAGGCTTTTTACTGGATGAACTGAGAACACAAAACTAAGAGAAACGGTACATGCTGAAAGGCGGTATGGAAATTCAGAAAGATCTGGACAGGCTGAAACAAGCCAAATGGAAATGACAAGGCGTGTACGGGTCTATATTTAGGTTAGCCCATCAGGGGTGTGGAAAGATTCTGCTTTGGATGCAAAGTTTGCACTGGAGAGACGTCAAACAGAATCCTGAAACCACCTCAAATGCCCCCCATGGCCCATGGGCCAGCTCTGTGGCCTTGATTCACAGCTGAGTCGTCTGTCCCTGAGCCTCCAGATTTGTCTTCCGCCAGTGAGGGTCAGGTCACCCATCCCTAGTCCCAGGTGGGGAGTTGGATCAGCTCAGCCACTTGAAGTGGGTCTTTGTGAACAGTGTTTCTTTCTTTCTTTCTTTTCTTAAGATTTTATTTATTTGACAAATCACCAATAGGCAGAGGACGGGGGGAAGCAGGCTCCCTACTGAGCAGAGAGCCCGATGTGGGGCTCGGTCCCAGGACCCTGAGACCATGACCTGAGCTCAGGCGCCCCATGAACAGTATTTCTTATGTGAGTAGGAGGAGCGTTTCCTGGCGATAAATACAGAGTCCTGGAGGCACAGGGTCAGAATGGCCAGGAACTTCTGGGGGTCCTTCGTGTGTCCCCCTTACACTGAATTTCATTGTCACTCTTCTTGAGGCCTTGTCTTTTCCTAATGAGATCAGAGGGCTGCTTTTTCTAAGCTGTGTGCCGGTGTTCTCGGGGCTGCTGGCCGGGGGTGCTTTGTGCAGCTTGTCCTCCCGTGACGGCCAGAGGAGTTTTGTTCTCAGTCATCCGAGGCGAGGATGACCCTATCGGTCTTTTGTTCTGTGGGGCAGGGATGACTGCTTTTGACCCTTGCAGAGGGCAGGGTGTTTGGCACTATTGGCCTCGGGTCTGTTGGTTTCCGTCGAAGACGCCTTCTTCCTCCATTGCTCTGGTTAACCAAGAGCACGTTTCATCCTGCCGGCCTTGGGCCTCTGCGTGGATGTAATTCCGGGCCGAAACACTCTTCCTTGTGGCTCCTTTGCAGACTTAGCTCTGTCCACTTAGTCCACTGAGTTGGGCTGCCTGCCAGGCCCGGTGCACGTCACCGGCGGTCATCCCCTTAGAGATCTGGGTACTCTTCCTCCTGTGTCTCTCTGCATTTCGCCATTTTCTCTCAGGAGAAAAAAAATTCTTCAGTGACTACCTTGTATATTGGGTTCCAGGGACGATAAGACCAAAAGCGAGACACGGTGGCCTCGAGAGCTCGGGCTGTCTGCTGAGCCGGGCGCCCAGGCTGCGGCCACGGACTTGTCCCCAGTGTCTCAGCACGGAAGTGGGGCACGTGCTTCTCAGCGGTCTCACTGTCTCCTCTTTCCCCCCCTTCCCCAAGGGTGAGCTTGTCGGCCACAGACTGTTACATCGTGCACGAGATCTACAATGGGGAGAACGCCCAAGACCAGTTCGAGTATGAGCTGGAGCAGGCGCTGGAAGCACAGTACAAGTACATCGTGATCGAGCCCACGCGCATCGGCGACGAGACGGCCCGCTGGATCACCGTGGGCAACTGCCTGCACAAGACCACCGTGCTGGCGGGCACTGCCTGCCTCTTCACCCCGCTGGCCCTGCCCTTGGATTACTCCCACTACATCTCACTGCCCGCCGGCGTGCTCAGCCTGGCCTGCTGCACCCTCTACGGCATCTCCTGGCAGTTTGACCCCTGCTGCAAGTACCAGGTGGAGTACGACGCCTACAAACTGTCCCGCCTGCCCCTGCACACACTCACTTCCTCCACCCCAGTGGTGCTGGTCCGGAAGGACGACTTGCACAGAAAGAGACTGCACAACACGATAGCACTGGCCGCCCTGGTGTACTGTGTAAAGAAGATTTACGAACTCTACGCCGTATGATTGCAGTAGGACGGGGAGAGAAGCAAACGACCCAGCCCACGAGAGACGACCCGAGGAGTCAGATGGCCACAGCAACAGTTTTTGCTCTGTGAGGCGGCGGAGCCTGGGAAGGGGTTTGGTTTAATAGTTGTTATTTAAAAAAAAAAAAAAATAACACAGATCACAGGCGTACCAAGGGTTTTCAGCTCATTACACTAAGATGTGGATTCCCGTAACCCGCGGGGGGTCTTCTGAGCTGTGGGAGTCTGAGCAGGCGGTGGAATGTTGACGGCAGCAACGCTACAGAGCGGGTATGAATGTGCTTGCGGGGTTGGGGGGGAGGTCTTTAAGTCTGTTGTTTAACTGTACCATCCAGAGCCCACCACAAGCTATTGACCATTAAAATTATGAGAATTTCAACTTCAGGTGTCTTCTCTTTCCGTGACTGCTCGCAGCAGGAGCAGGCCTTTGAGCGAGGTCGGTACGGACCCCCCCACCGCCCCCGCCCCGAGCGGTCTCACATCTCACCTCTCACTTCTCATGCTGGCCTCATTTTCAAGGCCAGCGCTGCTAAATGCCATTCGGGGCCATGGTAGGATCCTGTGACAAGGCCTAGAGGTCACTGGGTTTCTGTGTGGGGCCATGTGGAAGACTCGGGCCTGGAACTTCCTGTGCAGATTTGGATTTAAAAGGCCCCACAGGGGAACAGCCGCATTTTTTTCAAAGCATCGAAGCTGTTTCTGATGTGGACCCTGAGTTCAAGCCCAGTGCCCCTCCCGCCACTCCCCTTCCTCCCAGCAGAAGGCCTATCGCACACCATCTTCCACATCCCTCTGAGGTGTGGGATAAATGAAAGATTTTCTCTTCCACGCAGCTGTCAGGTCCCCCATCTTGTCTGCAACCTTCCTGAGACCTGCTCTCAGTCCTCCCTGAAGAGCTACATGGCACTTCCTCCTGAAGGGTCCATCTTTAAGAAGCAAACTAGTTTTAAAGGCCACATTGGGAAGATCTGATACCAGAGAATAATGAAGGAGTATGTGGGAAGGTGTCGAGGCGCTCAAGTGGCGACTGGTCCGTTTTTTTTAAGGGGAGACCCAGAGTTTTTAAAAGACTTCAAAATGGACTCTGTTCCACAAAGAGTTGGAATAACTTTAATTCCAGGGGCCTAGAAATACTCATGACTCAGTTGAAGGCTGGGTGGCAAGATGGTGGGGGCACACTACAGTTTACGCGGCAGCCTGGCCATCTGCAACCGTAGTCGATTGGTAGTGATCCCAGACACAGAGCGGGTCTCAACGTGCAGGGCCCATAAGCCCGTGGGTGTCTTGACTGCCGGCTCCCAGGCTGGCTGCTGTGAATGGTAGGTGTCTTTGTAATAAACGGTGCAGATTTGGAAAGGGAGCCCCATGTTTTCTGCCTGCAAATCAGATTTCACAGGGGAGGTGGCTGGAAGCTGACAAGCAGTAGCCGTCTCCGTCAGGTCAGCTGAGCTGAAGTCCTCACCAGAAATAGAAGCCAAGGGCAAACAGGCTGGCTCCAGCTGCGCTAAACAAAGTGATTCTTGTCAGGTGGACCAGCCCGGATTCTGTGGTGCCACCTCAGTTACATGGCCCTGGCCAAGGTGCGGACTCGGGCCTGCCGTGGAGTGCAGGGCAGGACTTAGGTGTTCTAGGCCTCTCTGCGTGACCCACACCCAAACTGGCCAGGAAGGGGAACGGCAGAACCGCACCTCCTGCGCCTGGAAGGCCTTCCCCTCTCTTGGCCCTGGCTCCTCTGTTTCTGCCGCCTTCCTACTTAGACGTCACTGACAAGTGGGTTATGCTCCTCGGTGACGGGCCACAGTGCTCCCAAAGCAAGAGCCCCGAAGTACCGTCAAGTGGGAAACAAAGGCCAAGTTAGCTGGGCCCTTGCCTGCGAAGTCCACACGAGTCCTGTGTGTGCCCACGTCTGTCAGTGCATCATGCCAGCCCAATTACAGCAGTCTTGTTTGAACTGCCCGCTCTCGCCCCAATTTCAGAGAAGAGCAAAGAGCCTTCGGAAAGGTCAGCTCATCGAGACATGGAGAGGAGGAGACCCCGGCAAACATGGACTGTCTCTCTCCTTGGCCTATGAGCTCCCTCCAAGGTGTTCACATCTGGTTCTGCAGCTGTCATCCCCCGTGAAGAAGCGAAGGGAAACTGTATCCTCGGAGCCTGCTGGGTGCCGGGCAGTGTGCCCAGGCAGCTGTGCGCTCACTGGTCCATCTAATCACTCGCGAGCCACTCCGCAGCGGCCAGATGTGCAGCACTGCTGTCTGGAAACTCACTCGGTTATGCTTTCCCGACTCGGGTGTGGGCTCACAGCACAAGTGTGCCTGCTTCTGCACTGGGACCGGGGAAAGCTCCAGGAGGCCTACAGAGCAAAGAACGAAGTGCCTTTGAACTGTATCTGCAGTCAGAACCCATCCAGAGTGCAGCTTTCTGACCACCCCCACTCCACGGAGGAGAGAAACGGGGGGAAAGAAACCCTTGAGGACAGGACAGAGAATCTGGAACAGCAGGACCACCACTGTCCCTGGTGGCAGATGTATCCAAACACTGCTTTGAAAGCAAGAGTGGGTCCTGGCCATGGCACAGTGTTGGGGAGAGGGAAGCTCGCCCTCAGGGAAGGGCTGCAGCTGTCCTCCCAGTCCTGGGAGCTCCCGCTCCAGCAGGCCCAGTAAGCCCCGCCTTTGCTTGTCCGGCGTGACAGGAGGCCCAAGATGGCCACGTGGACTTTAAGGAGCACTGAGGTCACCGGCCCTAATTAGTCCTCTCCCTGGTTTCTGAGGCCGAAAAGCATCTGTGCGGCGCGAGCGCATCTTTCATACCTCTCTGATAGTGCCAACCTCCTCAGGACCAGCTGGACCTCACACCCAGCCTCTGCCAGCCAGCTGGAGGTGGCCAGATTTTAATGGTTGTTTGTGCTGCATTTGCTGCTTACATGGTAGAATATAGTTTCTAAAGTAAGTTTAAGAAAGTGAGTGTGAGTCTTTAAAAAATGCAAGGTAAATAAACATCAGTGGTTTAGGATCTGGCTCGGGTGTCGTGTGTAGGTTGAGAGACCCCTCGTGTCTGCTCCAGGCTCTGCATACTGACCCGCGCCTGGCCTGGGGCTTGGTGGGCTCCACCGCTGTCCCAGTGGCCCCCAAGGCAGCCACCCAGCAGCAGACTTGGTGCCATGTTCTGATGACACACTGAGTGGCTGCTCAGCATGTGTCCTTTAGAGGACAGCAGGTCACATCGGTCTCCAGTTGCTGCCCATTTTGTTTAACAGGAAAGGACAGCACCTGGATCTGGGCCCCAGTGAAAGTACCCATCAACTGTGTCCAAGGACAGATGTTCTCGTCCCCATTTAGAGGCCCAGCTGCCTCTTGTCACTGCCTCTTCCTGAGGACCCGCTATGCACTTGACAGTTTTAGGCAGTCTCAGAGTAGGCTTCAGAGTGGCCGCTACAGCTGTCATGGGCCCAGCTCTTCCCTGGGCTCATGCCCATGATGTGAACAGTGAGATCCTTCTCCTCTACATTACGAGGGAGGTAGATGGTTTATGTAGTAAATGAAGAGCCAACCCATATGTCCATATCGACATTCCAACCATGGGCCCCTGGAATGTTCAGGTCCTGCTGGGAACTGGGGACGACCACCAGATCTAACGCCCCACTCCTCGTCCTCCTGCTCCCAGGAATCTTAGGAGCCTCAAACACTAACCATAGGCTGGCTTAGCCGTTTTTATTTCACGGACAGCTGTTTAAAATACAAGCGCAACAGGGTCAGAGTTAGGAGACGGCGCAAGATGCCACTAGGACATGCTAGGACATTTTTATTCCGAGTTGGGGAAGCCATACAAGACAGCCACCATTTCCACTTTCAGCCTCAATAATAGGTAAAGTTTCGTCCTAAACATCAGCTATGAAGTGGATTTATTCAACCTCAACCACGTATTTTTAATAAATCAGACAGGTGGAAGCAGGCACCCCTCTGGCTACCTCCCAACAGGCACAGCTAACAGAGCGCCGTCTTGCCGGGGCCGGCTGCAGCCTTAGAACCCCCCAGCCACCCGGGCTTCGGAGTCTGACTCCCTAGAGCATCTGTGGGCCCATGCGGGGGTTTCCTCTCCCTTTTGGCTGCTGTGTCCTTAGTAAATTCATCTTCTGCTTGGAGTGGGGCCTGGTCTACACGGCTTCCGGGGAGAGTTCACAGGGAAACTGGGGAATGTCTTAGGTACTAAAGTCAGCATCACTTGGGCTACATGGAAAGACAGAACAAACAGAAGCCCGTTTGTTGCACTGGACGATGTCCTGTAGGACCCTGGAAATGGATACGGACAACGACGTCTTCAAACCACAGCCTGCTCCCTTGAGTACTGCGGGGGACTCTGCCAAAACCATCAGTTTGCGATCCAGATCAGTCAAATGAGAGAAGTGGGTCAGGTGATGTCAAGATGTCTTCTGTCTTCAAGGCTGAAACACTTTTGAGGAGCTGACTCAGGCTGGAATTCAAAGGTGGCACAGTGCTTTCAGCCCTGAGGACTACAGCCCTTAACCGTTCATTTATTTCAGAGTCTTAGCCCAAAGTCAGCTCCACACTTGTTCCTTCAGAGGCACCCCCCAGCCCTGAGCAGGTGGCTGCCCTTCTGGGTTCTCATTCTATTAGGAGGGGCTAGCCAGGGAGCTTCGGGAAAAGCGTGTGTTCCCTCTTTCCCACCCGTACGACGAGTACCCAGGAAGGTGTCGACAAAGACAGCTGTGCCCAGGCAGGCCGCCGCCCCTGGCAGGCGCTGCTCCCCCCGCCCAGCTCAGACGCGCGACTAGGAGGTCTTGGACTTGCGCTCCTTTCTGGCCCTGGAGGCCATGAGGCTGAAGAAGAGCCCAGGAGCCAGAGTTCGCAGATAAATGGCCAAGGACGGCAACAGGTCGCCCAGGATCACATCTTTCTTTTTCTTCCCCACAGCAGCCAGAACATCCCGGGCCACCTCTGCAGGGCTTCGGCCCTGGGCCGTGCTCTTGTCCATGACTAAAATAAACAAAACAAAAGAAAGACGTGAACTACAAAGCAGAAGTTCCTCTCCCAAGGACTTGAGTGGACATGGACCAGCGTCAGCTAGGTTTGCTGAATTTCCCACCACGAAGCTCCCCCTGCCGTCTACTGGGAGGCAGGTGG